GCCTGCGGCTCGCCCTCTCCGTGCTGTGGCAGCTGGCGGCGGCGCGCGGGCTGGAGATGAGCGCCTACGAGGCGGAGCGCGGCCGCGCCGCCCGCTGCCAGCCCATCGACATCCCCATGTGCCAGGGCATCGGCTACAACCTCACCCGCATGCCCAACTTCATGGGCCACGAGAACCAGCGCGAGGCCGCCCTCAAGCTGCACGAGTTCGCGCCGCTCGTGGAGTACGGCTGCCACGTGCACCTGCGCTTCTTCCTGTGCTCCCTCTACGCGCCCATGTGCACCGACCAGGTGAGCACCAGCATCCCCGCCTGCCGCCCCATGTGCGAGCAGGCGCGCCACAAGTGCGTCCCCATCATGGAGCAGTTCAAYTTCGGCTGGCCCGAGTCGCTCGACTGCGGCAAGCTGCCCACCAAGAACGACCCCAAYGCGCTCTGCATGGAGGCCCCGGAGAACGCCTCGGCCGGCGAGCCGCACCGGGGCCAGGGCATGCTGCCCGTGGCGCCCCGGCCCTGGCCCGCCGGGTCTGCCGAGGGACGGGGCCCCAACGGCCTGGGGGCCTGCGACAACCCCGAGAAGTTCCAGTACGTGGAGAAGAGCCTCTCCTGCGCGCCCAGGTGCTCGCCCGGGGTGGACGTCTACTGGTCCCGGGAGGACAAAGACTTTGCCTTCATCTGGATGGCCGTGTGGTCAACACTGTGCTTCGTCTCCACCGCCTTCACGGTACTCACCTTCCTGCTTGACCCGCATCGCTTCCAGTACCCGGAGAGACCCATTATTTTCCTCTCCATGTGCTACAACGTGTACTCCGTGGCCTTCATCATCCGCTCGGTGGCAGGCGCCGAGAACATTGCCTGCGACCGGGAGAACGGGGAGCTCTATATCATCCAGGAGGGCCTGGAGAGCACGGGTTGCACCATCGTGTTCCTCATCCTCTACTACTTTGGCATGGCCAGCTCACTCTGGTGGGTTATCCTGACCCTCACTTGGTTCCTGGCTGCRGGGAAGAAGTGGGGACATGAGGCTATTGAAGCCCACAGCAGCTACTTCCACATGGCTGCCTGGGGCATCCCAGCCATGAAAACTATAGTAATCCTCACCATGAGGAAGGTGGCGGGGGACGAGCTCACGGGGTTGTGCTATGTGGGGAGCATGGACGTCAGCGCCCTGACCGGCTTCGTCCTCATCCCGCTCTCCTGCTACCTGGTCATCGGCACCTCCTTCATCCTTACGGGCTTTGTTGCCCTCTTCCACATCCGGAAGATCATGAAGACGGGAGGCACCAATACAGAGAAGCTGGAGAAGCTGATGGTGAAGATTGGGGTCTTCTCCATTCTCTACACTGTCCCGGCCACCTGTGTGATCGTCTGCTACTTCTACGAGCGGCTGAACATGGATTACTGGAACCTCCGGGCGCTGGAGCGTGGCTGCGTGCCCCTGCCCGGCAGGCGCGCCACCAACTGCTCCTTGGAGGCCTCCGTGCCCACCGTGGCCGTCTTTATGCTCAAGATATTCATGTCCCTGGTGGTGGGTATCACCAGCGGAGTGTGGGTGTGGAGCTCCAAGACGCTGCAGACCTGGCAGAGCCTGTGCAACAGGAAGCTGGGCATGAGGACGAGGGGGAAGCCGTGCAGCGGCGTCAGCTGCAGCGGGGTGCACTGCCACTACAAGGCCCCCACGGTCATGCTGCACATGACCAAAACAGACCCGTACCTGGACAACCCAACGCATGTCTAGAGAGCGGGCGCTGCCTCTGCCGGGGACGACGCGCCCGGAGAGCGGGTGTCACGGGTAAGGGAGTGGGGGAGCGCGGCGGGAGCCCGCGGCGGGGCTGGACGGGGCTGGGGCAGAGCGCGGAGCGGCGCCGGGGCGCGGGGTCCCGCGGGGCGCCCCTCGCACCACCCGACCCTCACAAGTAGCTGCTTTT